GAGTCATTACCGCGGAGAGCCGTAATCACTGCCTCCGCTGTGCAGGACTGATCCGAGAGCAGTGATTAGATACCGAGGCACTGTTCGGTTACAGACAGAAGCAGCAGCTTTAGTTACAAGGTAAATTTCACTTCTCTGAAACCTTTGGAGGAACATTCATAATCACGATACTAGAACAAGCCATTTCAAAGTACTCTGTTCTGAATATAAAATCATTCAAACATACTGCCTGATGTTGTTCTGCTTTAATGGCCACATCCTATGACCTTATAGTGGCTCCAAAAAGTATTTGTGTACACTGAAGTCACACTTACTGCATGGATTACATTGCATTAGATTACAATGTATCAAAAAGCGCAAACAAATTATGCTAGAAATATTCTCACGCCTAACTTCAAAGTAATTTGACATTTTTAGCTTGGTATCTAGCATTGTTTCAAGATGATTTTCAGGCTGTCTACACTAACAAATACACTTGAAAATGCATCTTTTTCTCCACATTGTAGCCTTCTCTTCACACTGCTGAAAACTTTTTTTTTAAGACACTCTCACAAGTGGATACATTTGAAAAAAAGAGGTATTTAAAAATTGTAGCTCATTACATTAACTATGAACAAAATCCACTAAAGTTTAGTGTCTGTGTCAGTCTATGATTATGCTAAATTACATAATATAGTACAGTAAATATGGGCAAAAATATGATTTCACACATTTAAGCTTTTGTTTTTAATAAATGTAACAGTTAACAACACAATAATACGTTTAAAATGTTAAAATACACTTGTCAATCCCCTTTCCAACAACACTGAAAAGCATACAGATCTTCATGTGTATTCTTATCAAAAACACAAGTATATCAATGGAAGAGAAAAGTGCAACGTCTACCTTTTGTGTAACCGCACTTCGTTTGCCAATAAAAATGTGTCCAAATACTTTGGGCCTGTCCTAGTACCCGCATTTGATGTCTTTTCACCTGACCACTCGTCTACTTACATCAGAGATGGGCAACTTCGGTCCCGGAGGGCCACTGTCCTGCAGAGTTTAGCACCAACCCAAATTAAACACACCTGAACAAGCTAATCATTGTCTTCAAGGTCACTAGAAAGCGACAGCATGTTGGTGCTAAACTCTGCAGCACATTTGCCCTCCAGGACCGAAGTTGCCCAGCTCCGACTTACATGATGTATTTCCTGTATTCCAGTGGTTTCAATCCTGGTCCTGGGGTACCACTGCTCTGCACATCTGCACAAGCAGTGGCTTTTGGAGCACATGACTTCCTTACCATGGTTAATGATGGGGTACACTTAGCCTCAAATACTGCTCCTAAGCAGTAAAGATAGTAGCCTATAGGTTTGTGTGTGTTAAAAGAGTTTTTACATTTTCTTTTCGTACATGAGACAGTCTTACTATTTCCTATTGCATACACGCACTCTCAAGTCTACAAGACCAAAAAAATGTGGGTACTGGGACAGATCCTCATCCTCAATCTTGCACTAAGGATTTGTGGTCTCACTATTGCCTTCTGTGGTTAAAACATAAGACTGCAATTGAATTTACTTGCACAGATAAATCTGATGTTTTGAGGAATTTCCATGGTTACTAGTCATCACCACATCAAAGCGGGTCTGACAGTAGAACGAGAGAAAGTCCAGTCAGTAAAAAGGCATATATTCGAAAAATATATTTTCTGAGCAAGTAGCCAGAACCTTTTCACTCCGTTTACAGACAAGACTTAAACATGCAACGATGAATGGCATAAATCTGCAAATTCCTGCCATATCTGGCTCTATCAAAATATAAATCATTATTGCAGGCTTATCATTCTTATCAAGAGTAAGGCAAGAACAGTTTATTTAACAACTGCAATCTTTATTCTTTTATATATATATACATATATATATATATATATATATATATACACACACATACAATTTAGAAACTTGAAATATGGAATACCTATGAAATACCTATTGCAATGGCATTTAAACAACCTTACAATATGACTGCATATGATTAAGGCTTATAACTGCAAAAGCTTGTTACGGTGACCTTTGTGTCAGGCATCCTGAGTGTGGAACCCTCCCTTGTGCCAGATATAGCAGCTGAGGAACATAAGCAATGCCCTATTACATGACTGTGGGCACTGAGTGCCCTGCCAGTGCAGCAGGGCTCCTCCTATGCACTTATGGGACTCATAACCTTATGGGCATATTCATTTGGAACTACTTACCTCCTCCTACAACACAATGTTCTGGAAAACAGGACAATGATGGAACAAAACACACATTTGGGATCAGACTTTTATTTGGACTCACATAAATAACAATAGTTCATATATATATACTTTTTTGTATATTATACAATTTTTATATAATATATATTTCCTCCTATGATTTACATTCTTTTTTTTGCTAAGTTATATCTATTGAAACAGGAGCATTATGTTGATGAACACACAGCTGCTTGAGCACAATAAAGACGGTAATATCAAAGAAGAGGAATTGGTTCTTTCATTTTTTTGTTCAGAAAAGTAAAAACAATCGCTTGAAAACAGAAATTAATGTAATTAGTTCATCAGTCTTAAATGCAAAGTAAAGCACGGCTAACTGGAAACCTGATATGCCATAACAATATCTTTCCTGGACATTTCTCATAAAAAAATGTTTATATAAAACAGCAGAGAATATCACAGGAAATGCTTCGAGTCGGGCCAGATCATCATGCAGTGACCCAGTGAATCGCACTTGAACAAATAGATCAAACTAGATCAGAGATTGACTCGTGAGTTCTGCTTTCAAGCTCCTCACGTTTACCTTTCAGCCACAGAAGAGCCTGCAAATGAGTTTTCACATGAAAAGTGACCTGAAATAAGCAAATCTCAAACAATTCCTCAAGATTTGCCCATGGATATCACTAATGATCAATGGAAATGTTGAAGACTTTCTGCAGTACATGTCATCTTGCTCTTTTTAGCATGCAGGGTTGCACTCAAGACCAAGACACATGACAGCGGCTGCTGCATTGACAGCAAGAACAGAACTGACAACAGTGTGACTGAATGAACTGAGACAGAGGGACAGTGCAGGAGTGGGCATCTCAGGGCTACGTTCATACAGGAAACACACTGACAATGATTTGACGTAGCTGTGTCACATGTCACCCATACTTGCACTTTCATCAGTGTAGAACTCACTAAATAAGTTCCATCAATCCAAAAAATGTCTCATTATGGCATTCAGATATACATTTATTGCCTGAGACCAGGACAAATTGGACCAGTAAAGAAGTGGAAATAGTTTTGAAACTCAAGAACTTCATGCAATTGGCCAGAAATGATTATAAATGCTAACAAATTAAGTTCATTATTGCTCTACTACACCATTAATGTATCATTCAGTCATAGATTAAACTTTAAAACAACTCATGAGTTCACGTTCATGGAGGAAAAAAAAAGAGTCTGTCATTGAGGGGCTCTTCTATGTGACTTGACACTAGCTTCAAGTACATAGACCGATGCTGAGATGAAGGATGCCGGAAAAACTGTCGGAAGTGAGGTAAACCCAACCTGATCTCATGAGAAAACTTAACTATTTTACGAGGTGGTGATTCTGTAAGAGTAAAGGTCCTAACCTAACCGCCAATGGGGAGTAAGCAGATCGCATGAAAACACACAGAAGAGACTGTACAAATTCATACGAATTAGCCACCAATTTGCCAAAACGTAAAATAGCTACGAATTGCCACAAGAGTGTGTTGGATAAACGTCGTTTCACTTCCTTATCCAATGCAAATAATAATGCTATCAGTGCACACAACTTGTTCTCAGTGAATCCCTTCTATATATTTGTAGGGATGTTAAGCTCTCAAGATGTAACAGGAGGATTCACATACTTGCTGTGCTTGCAAAGAGGATGTAATGGTAAAATGCTCTGTGCTTTTAATCAGAAAGATATAAAAAGAACCAAAAGCAATCACGTACATTCAGCAGAGCAAAGAGGAAACCCCACTGACACAAAGCCAAACCTGCAGGACAGTGGCGTCAGTAGTACGAATACTTCCCAATCTGGATATTTACATTGAACTGAATGGATACAAACCACTTTTTGGGGGGAAGTATCTCAAGCTCAGCATGCTATTGCAAAGATCTCTTGCTACACACTTGAATTTTTTGCCTGCATTAGCACAAGTGATTGTCTTTATCCCAAAACTGGGTATCCTTATTACAGCCCTGAACGTCACACTGAGGAAGATCGTGTAAGATTCATAACAGCCATTAAGAAAATAAAACTACTAGACTGTATTCGCTTTGGATGCACATTTGAATGGTAAACGGATGAATCAACTTGTCTTTTTGCCAGTCGTTCAAATATTTTTGAATGGATGGATCTGATAAATATGGACTATAGTCTTGAAATTCAGTTCTTGACGGCGTTTGAATGCGTGTCAATGGACGAACACCTCCACAGATGGGATTTTGCGACACATCGTATATCAATTATTAAAGATACACGTTAAAAACACCTGGGGAACTTGTGCCTCATGCTGTTCACAAAAACAAAACCAGAAACTGAGATAGTGAGAACAAATCACAGAGGAAATACATATCATGCCATCATCTTCAGACATATTTTAAACCAAAGCATCATCTTTTCTTCCTGAATATGAAAAGTGTGTTATAGACCCATCAGATAATAAATGTAACCCTTATTAGAAACACCAAATTGTCATCCTAACATAATCCACTATATTCGGTCCAAAAGGAAGTCCAACCCTGTCTCAAGTTACCAAGACTTTTTTACACACAGGGGCAACAAATTCAACTCTAAAAAGTGCTTTTAGGAATACATTAAAACGGACAAAAAAGCAAACCAATGTTTAGTCATAAATAATTTACAATTTCCCCCATTTCAGCGGTTTAAATCTGAGAGCTCATAACCCACTCGCTTAACGCTCATTAATGTGACCAGAACTATCAGGAACAACTAAAGATCCAACTTCAACCTAGTTATGAAAACCAGGAAAAGAAGAAGGGTGAGGGAACCTTCTGGAATAACTGATGCCTCAGTGGCAGCTCTTCACTCCGGACACATAGGGTGAATCCTGTTGGCGGCAGATGCCTTCTTGCTGCTCGCTGCAGTCCACGAAGTCAGGCACGGGCAGCCCTGACATGATCATCAATGACTTGTTCCAGATCATGAAGGTGGGAGCCACTGGAAGCAGGAAGGAAACGTCAAAAGTGTATATGTGCTGGGAGTTCATGGCGTCGTAGAAGGACAGGGCATTGTTGTCGTAGTCCAGCAGCACCCCAACCCTGCGCAGCTGTAGGGACGCCTCCACGATCGACTCCTTGTTGTTGTGCCGCACCAGGAAGTTGTTGTTGCAGCGTGAGAAAACCCAAGATGATGAGTTTTTGCCGCTCCATTCGTTTTTGGGTGCTGACTTGTAAGCCACTCCAAGAGCGTACCTGAAAGGGAAACGATTTGAAATGTTGCCATTGGAACACAGGTGAGATAAAACTGATTTTAACAACTTGTTAGTTCATTATATAAGACATTTTAGTTTAGTAATATCATTTATATTTAGCATCAAGAACCTGGGTTCCCAAATCTTGACATTTATTAAAATGTTAATGCACCATGTGAAAATTCAACTGAACTTCACAGTCAGAGATCATTAGGAATATCCCAAAGCCTAATACCTTATTCAGAAAGCACAAATAAAGACATTATTACAAAATAACAAAAAAAATGGTTAGATTTATAATAATATATTACAAGCACAATGTAAAAATTACACACACAGTGTACTCTTTTAACTGTTTAACTGTCAGAAATCCGAACTTGTCAAGAGTAACATTACATTAAGTACATTAAGATGCACATTTTCCAATTCTTGTAATGTCTGTTACATTTTTTAATGCACAATTTGTTCATAAGTACGGAGCCCCGCACATGGCATGCAGGAAAAAAATAGTAGGCTGAATCGTGTGCACGATTTACTATTTCGTTCCCTTGATTTATAAATTGTGTGCACAATTTATAAATCGAGGGAACGAATTAGCAAATTGAGGGAACGAAATAGTAATCGTGTGAACGTTTTAGTACATCGAGGGAACGAATTAGTAAATCGTGCGCATGATTTATTTATTTTTTCTTGCATGTCATGTGCAGGGCTCCGTACATAAGTGAAGTAACATACCAAGAAGAGGTATGCTATTGTGTCTTTCAAAAACAAACCAAATATAATCAGCTGCAAAAAAGCACCTAATATTGTGCAGTTAGGAAGTCTTGCTGCCTTAAAATTTTAAGTTTAGTCAACTTGAAATGTTAAATTGTACTATGTGACAACTTGGATATTCGAGTTAAGGCAGCAAGCACTTACTTTAAGTTGAAACGTTTTTTTTTTTTTCAGCGAAAAGATAAATAATATAAAAATTACTGAGAAAACTTGAGAAAAAAATAAGAACTAGTAACAGCATTGTGTATATATAATCTATGGATACTGTAAATATATATAAGTATTATACATATTATAATATTAAAGTTATAATAGTATAATTTAAAAAATAAATATTACCAATAATATGAAATCCGTACAGTAAATTATGTTTGATGTACTTTATACAGTATATAGAAGGGAATCTGGTGAAATATATATATATATAATATTAGGCAACTTATACAACTTATAATGCTACTACTAATAATATATAAACACACAATAATATATATTACTCTGTTTATATATAATGTATATACCCCCTTTTTTCCACAAATACCGTGTAATAAATAAAATAATAAAAATGTTATGAATTATTAGGCATATTTGCTAAATGGAATAGAGTTAGTGTCCATTCACACCAAGATGATAACTATAACTACAAAATTTCGTTTCTATTTTAAAGGAACAAATTTCAAGCAACATAAGGGTTGGCAGGTAATGACATCCTTTTCTGTTTTAAGCAAATGATCTATGGGGAATATGACTCAATTGCCTATTATACACTTTTGACAACTGCCTATTAACATAACAGTTACAAGCCTGAAAATCTGAAATCACTTACCATGTGGAGGCGCCCAGTAAAACCTCCCAATAATGGCAGCCACTGTCGATGAAGACGTTGCCAGCGGCACCATAGGATCCGGTTCCGCTAAAGCGCTCCGGAGTGTGACTCTTCTTCAGGGAGCTTTCATCCTTCTCCATGGTCAGACAGTCATTGGAGAGGCGCAGCTTCTTATGGGCCGTTTTGGGGTCCAGTTTGAAAGGCTGACCTGAGGAGCGGAGAGGACAGAGATGGGTGAGATACATCAGGAACATGTAACAAGAGCCAGTGGGGAATGAGTTTGGTGACCTGAGAAGAAACTCTCACTGGTCTGCTGGAATTCGTGCAATTTGTTAAATGTCAGATTGAGCTCTTCTGGTTAATTAGGAGATGAGCGGTTGTGATAAAAGGCACAGTGTGTGTGTGTGTGTGTGAGAGTTAAAGACAGAGAGGACCAAATGCTAAATGAAGTCAGCTTACGTATATGATTTGAGTTTTAAATTTCTTGAAAAGCAGAGGTGACCCCACAGGCCCGACATTTAACTCTGGCACGTCTAAATCTTCCCATCCCTGGCATACTGACTGACAATGCAGCAAAACAATCAGCTGCGCTCCATCCCTGCCCACAAACCAATCATCTCAACCCAGAGTGAGGTTTACTGCACCCAGATATGAAAGGTTCTGGCAATGTGCTGCTGGAAGCCAATTACATTAACACGCTCTTGTCTTTGAACTGCTTATCGCTGCGAGCGCAGCCATTCTCAACACTCGTGCAGTCATGCCATTTTACAGCATGTGTTTGAGGGCACTGGGAAAAGCGATGCAGATGCGCGCGCACACACACATACGCACGCACACACACACACACACACACACACACACACACACACACACACACACACACACACACACAC